CAATTAAACCCACTACCAGTGGTTTATGCTACGCCAATGCCATGAGTGAACAGCGGGTCCTGTGTGCTGTTCATCACACGATGGTGTGCTAAAAACCTCAAACACAATCCACCTACGATTGCGTCGTTGGCCTCCTTTAGGACGGGAGCAATCTGGGTCAAAAAGATTGTGTCCCAGCCATAACAGAAACGATCAACCACTACCGCATGCAGTAAAACCCTCGATATTTAGCTCCTACTACACCATAGAACAAGTGACAATATCATCATGAAGAAATCCATATCCCGAGTAGAATAAAATAAGAATATAAATGTGAATGCGTGTGACCAGTCTTTCGTAGTTCACTTCTCCTCTATCGCTGATGAGATCGGTCGAGCACACACAGAGTAAATCATAAATTACCGAAAAAGAGCTTACCAACCAATCGCGTATTTTCACAAATTTTATCAACCTGCACTTACCTTAATGGTTACACTTTCTTTTCCAGCGGCCACCAGAACTTCGATCGGACTCAACGATTGGCTCCGGGAATTTTGTTCAACCACAGCCCGCATCGCATTCTACAAATATAACAGCGTACGCACAAAGGTGAATCGCAGCCGAATGGAAGGAAACGCAGTGATGGCGTCGAATAGGTCCGGTGCGAGAAATAAACCAAAAGTAGTAGTGTTAGTGTTACAACTTTGAAACTATTACCGCAAACAAATTCTCAATAGTGGACACAAACATTCGTCCGAATTATTGGATTATCGGTTTAAAATACCACGTATGAATGTGAGTAACTACCCGGACCCCAAAAGATATGCAGTTGCGGTTTAAATGAACACCAATAGGAAAGATCATCAGCAATGAAATTGCGTTCCGCATATAAATATGTGCACCTGACATTACTACAGCTGGGGACCAGAAGCGGACTTCGTGTAAAGCACGAAGCTTCGAGAATCGCTCATTTCCAAAGGTCGAATGCAAAGTTAGCTGAGTGCGTACTGGAATCAAAAGAATAGTGGACAAACCTAAACTTCAAACACACGAGATCCTTATAATCGCATCATATAACTGCTTATTGAGGAATGGAGTATTT